AAAAGGATGCATATTTTGTTGAATTTCTGAAGAAAAATAAAACAAATTAAACAATTTCATATTGCAGTTGACAAACCTGGCAGTTTTGCTTTAAGTAGCCAAAGGCAAGCACTTGTTTAATATACCAACAAAACTGATTTAGCAGACACTAATGTACACTTCCTGGAATCCTATTGCTTTTAGACATGACTACGAATGTTTACATGTTCTATTGTTTGCAAGATAATAACTTGCATCCCTTCCCTTGGTAACTTTTCCAAGAGGGTAAAATGTTGCTAGAACCGTTTTAGACAAGTTTGAGAGAAAATTTATTTCCACAGGAATTCTAGTGAACTCTCCAATTTCTGACTGAAACACTTGTCATACTGCTTTTATGTTTGATTGATTTATCAATTTTGGGATCTCATTTCTTCTGATATTTATTTTATTGGCAAAATAGAACTCACATCTGCATATATACTTTTTTCCACAATATGCACGTTCTTTTTTTTCCCCTTTTGAAGAGATACACAGAGACTGCAATAGGTGTGTATCTATGAAATATTTTATTTTTTCTAATGTTACATATGGAAGAATTGTTACGTATTCCATATGCAAAAGTTCTGATATCATATATTTCAAAATATAAGCCTGATGTTTACTGGGCTTTCCCAACATCTGGGAAATTCCTCATGGAGATCACCGTAGAGTGCACCCAGTGTGCAAAAAGCTATCTTTGTTAATTTTAAGCTAACACCATATTTTTCTACAACATCTACCTGTAACAAAGGATCGTTAACAGGTGCCCTCCGGACTTCACTCTGCTCTTCACATTCCAAATATTATACCTGTGAATAAGATGAGAAAAAAAAAGGCTCAGTCAATGCCTGTTCTTTGAACAGTGTGAAAGATCATGACTGGCTACTCCGTGAAAGAAAGCACTTGGGCCAGACGGGAAGACTGCCACAAGAAATCAGTCCAGACACCTGAATCTTCAGTCCAAAACTTAATTATTGAGTGAAATTTCAGTCAAACATTCAGCTGTCTGTAGTTCTCTGTAAACAAGTGCCTGCCTACTAAATGATAATGCAAATCTGGACAATAATTCCAGAAAACCAGGTTCCCTAATGTACGCCTCATATTCCCCCAAACAAATCAATTTTAAAAAGAGACGATTAACAACAAACACAGATTTGCCAAGAACAATCATATTAAACAAGTCTAATTTCCTTATGGATAGGAAAGATATAGTTGCTATGGCATATCTTAGCTTTAGAAAGCATTCCTCTAATGTTGCAAGCAAGCTGGGAAAAACTGTCATGATGATATGTCTATACAAAATGACTTGGATAACATATTCAGAAACAATTTATCATCAGCTTGTGTCAGCAATCCCTTAAAGTGCTCCAGATTCTTTGAGGTTAAACAGGGATTTGCATGGAGTAATTTCATTAATCAGTACAAACGTAAATTTGAATATTTCCTTGCCTGAGGAAGACAGGGTCAAAATGTAAAGGAATTTTCATTAAGGTTTATCTCCCTGTCACACTTCCCCTTTCTTCTCTTCCCTTTAAAGTAACAGGATAAAGGAAAGTTCCTTCTCTTTGACAGGTATAGTGAGAATCCTTCCTTGTGCTACCTTGCAGAATATGGGCCATGTTATTTCCTCCCTTGTAATGACAAATCTGAATCACATCAGAGGTCATCTAGTCCAACTCCCTGCTAAAGCAGGTTCACCTAGAGCAGGGTGGACAGGAACTTGTCCAGGGACATTCTGAATATCTCCAGAGAAGGAGACTCCATAATCTCTCTGGGCAGACTGTTCCAGTGCTCTATCATCCTCAAAGTAATGAAGTTTTTCCTTATGTTCAAACAGAATTTCCTGTGTTCCAGTTTGTGCCCATTGCCTCTTTTCCTGTCACCAGGCACCACTGAGAAGAGTCTGGCCCCATCGTCTTGACACCCACCCTTTAGATATTGATAAGTATTGATGAGATCCCCTCTCTGTCTTCTCCAGGTTAAACAGACCCAGGTCTCTCAGCCTTTCCTCATAAGAGAGGTGCTTTTTCAGGTTGGTGTCCCTGGAGTTTGAACATACATCCACTGACTGTGCAACAGGTAAGTTATTAGAAGATGTGACGTGAAACCCAGAGATACTACCCAAAAAAAAAAAAAAAAAAGTTAGGGTCCACCCCACTTCGTTTTGAAAAATAGGCAATTTTTAAGGTTTGTCATCTAACCAATTTTGGACACTTATTCAACTCATCCAAACACTCCACTCTACACTGACTACAAATGAAGCTTGGAGAGACTAGCTCAAATACATATATCAGCACTAAACTTCTAAGTACAATAAATTAATCTGAATATTAAATATTAATATAATGTAAAACCCACCAATAACAAAGGGGTCATACATTAAATAGATCTTGATTTGTGTTTACTATATGCTAATACGGAAGAGAAGGACACAGAAAAGTCCACGTTAGAAAAACAAAATACCAGAAAGCTCTACTGGATAAGGAAACCATGTGACCTTTCATGAAAACATGATACTACTTCATCAGCCTTAGAGATCTGATCACAAGAGCGTTATTTCCTAGTCTAATTTTTTGTACTAAGAGTAGAAAATTCAGAAAAGAAAATAAAAAGAAAAAAACAGTGCTCTGAAAGATAAGTGTGCAAATATGAAACTTTTTTAAAAACAGGGAAAAAAGTACATATCACGCAACAAAACTCCCATACAATAACAGAGCCTTATGCTGTCATTTAAATATGGAACAAAGTTGAAAATACATCTTTCAAGCCAAAATTTTCAATCTGGATGCTTCACATTTTGAAAATTATGGTTTCAAATACATATTTGGAGAACAAAATAAGAATAAATGCCTCATAAAATTATGCAAGTGAGATATGAATATTGTGGACTATGTTTTTTATTTGTCAAGAAGCCTCTTAGGCTTAGAAACATAAAAATAAAATTACAAAACAGCTCTTTGCTCTTTTTACTCTCTGAAGATGCTATGTAAAGCTTTTCATCTGCTTTGACTTCTGCCAGGTTCAACTTCGTGCAGACAAGAGAAGTGTGAGTCTCTCCCTTTTTTTCCTTCACTTAAATATACACATAGACGTGGCGGAGATTTTGTCTTAAAATTATTAGTAACTCAGTTATGACTGCAGTTCTAGAGTCAAGAGAATACTAAACAAAATTAAGCAGAACACTCTGAATAGCAAGTTTGGAGTCTGGAAAGATGCAGGTAGAACAGTGCTAATCTTTTAGAATATGAAATTCACAATTTGAAATTCAGGAATTCCATGTACTTGAAACTGAAGAAGAAATAAAATGGCCAAAAATATAATGGAGAGTTGGTAGTAAAGTAATAGTGTTACAGAGCACAACTGAGGGTTATAATCCAGTTCTGGGGTTTTAAAACAGAAAAAAGCAAATTGGAAAGATTCCATGATGGAGGTTACAGGAATAATTAGAGTTTTAGAAGAATGACCGCTAAGGAAATTGAAGGATTTTGTTTAGTCTAAAGAAGAGAAGACTGAGGAAGGAAGGACATTGATAACAATCTTCTGATAACTAAGTGGCTGTCATTAAGAGAAGGACAAACAATTGTTTTCCAAGTGTCTGGAAGTAGAATGAAATGGAATCAGCATAATTTGTAGTAAAAAAGATTTCTGTAAGATAGCATGGATATTTTTCCCTCCCTGAAACATACCCATAGGTATTCTACAGGCACTCTGATATCTCTTTGAGGTTTTTAGGAAAAGGTTATACATGCTGTGGTATCATGTAAATATACTTAAATCCTGACATCTGCAATGAACTACATGACTTCTTAAGGTCTTTCCCTGGCTTATTTTTCTATCATTCTGTAACAGGCTAACACAGAAAACAAACAGAAACTACATGCTCATCCCCCTTTTCAAGTGCTTAGGGACAAGACTAGAGAAGTGCCAGAACAAAAAAAACATTGATTTTGTTTATGACTAACAACATAGGATCACCTGTTAAGGGTGAATACACTTTCGATAGGAACCACCTGGAGAAGGTGTATGTCTCACTGTCCCATTAATCACTCACAGGAAGACAAGGGTGGGATTTAAGACATGTATAGCAGGCCTTTGGGCTCTTTTCTGCACTAAAATGAATTGCTTCCAGTCTGTAAAATTAGCATTCTTTCTTAGCCAGGAACAAAACCAACTAAAAAAAAAAAACAACTAACCAAACAAAAAAAAAAACCCACCAAAGAAAGGAGGATGAAAACTGCAAAAATTGCCTCTTAACTTTAAATAAATAAATATTTACAGGAAGTTATGCTTTATGCTTATGATATTTTCAGAGGTTTTTACTGGGAAGTCCTTAGGATTTCATTATCTTTATGCTTTTGCAAGAAATTATTTTGAGAGTGACCGTAAATACGCAACAAAGCGTATTGACTCCTTGTGGTTTAAACTTTTGATGCAGTAATTAATTTGACCAAATAAGAATAGAGCTAGCTAGCTGGGAGCAGAAAACCAAACATCTAAAAAAGAATGAAATCAAACAGTTTTACTCTGATTTTTTTTTTTTTTAAGAGTATCAGACATCAGGTAACACTAACAAAATATGTTCACTAATTAAGACAGTAGTTAAGTATTCCAACTCACTGTGTAATTAAAACTGCTTGTTATTCATGACTGTAACAAATGATGGTTAAAATGTTAATGTGATCCTTGAACTAAAATTTGACTAACAAAATTTACTTTTTTATTAAGGTGTTTGCATAAATAGTTATAAAAGTTTTTAGTGACTGCATTTTTGAACATTTCAAAGTGAAACACAATATTTTGACACATAACAATCAATTACAGAATTGCATTAAACAAACTAAATGAACACAAAAATGTTCAGTTGACTGCAGTCACAAAATGACTATTATCAGCTTATTTAAAATTGCATGTTTATCAAATCATCCAAACCAGAAGAATAAGGAAAAATCTTTTTCCCAGTACGTAAGCCTGCGAGCTGAACGATGTCGTACGGGGAACCAACAGGTACTTGGAATTTTGCTTCTCAAGAAACCATTGAATTGAACCTGCACTGCACTCCCTTCAGCTGCCTTTAACGGCCTACAGAAGACTCTACAGCCAGACCTCAGCTGGCCCCTGGTCCAGGCAGGTCCCCAACGAAATGTGTAACTGAGGACATGTAAATCGTCAACATTCTTAAAAGCAAGAAGGCATTTTGGAATTATGCTGAACTGGGGAACCATATTTAGGGAGGCTGGATTATTTTTCTGAAAGATACCTGCTAGTTTTGCTTATTAGGAAAGGACTAAGCTGAAAACGGGTTTTAAATATATTTTCAATAGTTTACACTATATAATGCAATAGCATATTTTACTTAGAAAAGAAAAATAAGTTGTTTGGGGGCTTGTTATTTACAAAATGTGTTCTTTTAAATGGCAAATTCCAGTTGTCTTTAGCTCTCAAAATCAGTTGTACTTAAAGAGCTTTTTGAGTTGTCAGATTTACCACCAGACTGCATCTCCAACTGAACATTAAGAGCTTCTTTCACTTTGTTTCCTCGTTGTTTTTACAATAATTTGGTTTGTGTCCTTTAACGATGAAATCCCCAAACCACCATGAACTTGACAGATCACAGACCTATATCGGCTCTGCAGTTTATGAATTTCATTTAGTACAGTCACATTATTGAGTTTTGAAGATAATTATGCAGAAGCATCAGATACAATACCAAGATGTTAGTCAGCTGTCCACTGCTGCAATTAGCCCGAATTCTTATTCAAGCTTCAGCTACCCCATCAAAAATTATTTTTTTTTTCCATTATCTAAGCCATTCTTCTAATATTATTTAGCTAATCAGCCTTAATTGAAAAATAGGCAGTGTGTTTATTCTTTTACTGGAACAAGCAAATCTACTACTGAGCAGTACATTAATAGGGCAAGTTGGGTTATTTATTCTTTTATCTTTATGATTACAAAACCTTCAAAGACACCTTTGAAATAGAAATTTGCAATAAACATGAGATTTCTACTCTATTCTTCACATGACATAAAACTAGAAAAACAGCATTTAGGAAAAATGTATAAATCAATAGGTTTAAAAATTGGAAAAACTATCAAGAAACAGTCATCATTCTGAGTCTTTTTAGAATATCTAACAAAAAATATCTAGCACAGGAAGATCAGTTGCATCAAAAAATGTACATCTTAGACCTAGCTTCACAGATAGAGTAAAATTATGAATAATGATCAGATGTAAAAAGACTACAGATTTACTCAGAAGATTCTAATAAGGAATATTAAAGACCTAATTCTGCTGTGAATAATTCCCCAGAATCTCCTATCATCAAGCAGTAAGAGACAAGTAAAAGTTAAATCCTATTGCTGTTATTTGCATTACCTAAAACATTCATGAAAGATATTCATGACAGAGTAGGTCCCTAAAATTAAAAATCAAAACCCATCCCAGACTTTTTGCAATCATTTGTATCTCATGGTATCAGGAATTTAATCGTGCAAATAGGAAAGAATAATCCTGAGAGAACTCCTGCCTGGTAACAGCTCTGATCCTGGAAAAATTGAAGACTTGCCTTATAAAAAGGTTTTAGAAAATGTTACAAGGATCAATTCTATATATTTCCATAGAAATACATTTCTAGAAATGTTGACTAAGATTTTTAGATTGCTTCTACTGATTCTAAATGTTACATTTGTCATGGACTGGCTACCAGAAGACTGATATTCAGTTTTCTCTGAATATTGTGATTTTCAAAAGTCTGTTTCAGTGTACGCACCCCAAAATAACTAGTTATTTGCTTAAAATCTCAGCCTCAGAATATTATGGTCTTTATAGAATATCGTGGTCATTATTCCTCTGCCAAACAGCAAAAGATCAAATAGAATACCACATAAATAAACAGTTATTTTTTGCCCCCAAAATTTGCATTTTCTGACGTGGTATGACAACTGAAGGGAAGACAAGAGAAGAGAAATAGAAATGTAGAAATTTCATGTCTTTCTGACGACCTGTGTAATAAATTAAACTGAGATTGGCTGACAGATTTAACAGTTATCATGAGGAACCAAAAGGCACAGAGATCATTCCCATACGGATTTGGGAAACTAGGCTGAGCGTAGAACCACACATTTCATTCAGTTATAGTACAATATGATGGTTCCAAATAGAAAAGCAATATTTAGCTGGAAGGAGATTTAATAATTTGATAGTTACAGATATATTTTTCTTCACATTTTTTAATGAACTGAGCAGTTCCATACTGACATGGTAACCTGGCATGTTTAGAAAGAATTAGAAAAAGCTTTCTGTTCAAATTGTTCAGCCAAACCATCATAATTTTCACTGCAATACATTTTTGTGAAACACAGGATTGTTGAGAAAAAGAGATAGAAGCTACTATATCAAGATTATTTGGGCAATTTGTGTCTAACTAACATAACTAATGTCTAAAAGCCACAGGAAACTCGTTAGTGTTCTTTTTCACCAGGTAAGTAGAAAAACATCATGGAGAGATGAAGGTACATTTCCACACATTTTAAAATGATTATCAAAGAGTATAACCTGAATGGAAAGAAATACTGGAAACGTGACTGTGAACCCTCACTCAGAGCCCGGACACAATATAAGGAAACAACTTAAATCAAAGTAAGTACTACATACTCCACAGCGGAGCCCTTGACTTGACACATCTGGGAAGCCTAGGAAAAGAAGTCCACTTATTCAGGTTTAACTCTTAATGAAGAGTTAACTCTTCCATTTCTGCACCATTAAGTTGTTTTTTGAATGAAGCAGAAACAGAGAAGTGAGGAAAGAAGGTCTTAAAACCTAAATTACTGTGTTGTTAAAAAGCAAGGGCTTAACTGCATCATCCGAGTAACAAGAATATACCCTCCACAGAGGAAATAGAAGACTAAAATAGTTTTTTTGCACTTAATGAAATTTTAAAGTTTGAAGCATATTGAAAAATGAGAGACGTCTCAGTAAGAAAAAATGTGAAGACAGCAAATTGTCTACTTTCAACTTCATAGGAGCTGCAGGAGTTTAAATATCAAATCAAATGCATTTAGGAATGTTGCCAGCACGTATCTGAGAAACGAATCTAGTGCACCCTGCTCAGACATAGTCTTAAAATACAGGACACAATGCATCCACAATACACATACACAAATCTAACTCCACAGTGAAACAGAGGAAAAAACAGCATTCACACAGATAAAAAAAATAAATAATAATTCTCAAAGAAGTGGTGTAATTCAACAGCAGGTGTTTGGGGGTTCTTTTGTAGGGTGGGGATTTCCTATCCAAAATAGAAGTCATTGTTGCAATAAAAATATTTCAGGGAGTAAAGATTGAAGTAAATCTCTGCTGTACAGAGAGCACACTACCGCTTATTAAAGGTCATGATGACGTAAGATGCTGTACTATATTAGATTAAAAAAAAAAAAGAAAAGGAAAACTGAACATTAAAGAAACTGGAAAATGGTTTCATACAGAGGAAGAACTACTATATTTGGTGCAGCTGAACTTGAGATGTGTCGCCTTTGCTTCCTGCCACTCAGCTGCACGATAAAAGTGATCAGCACAAGCACAAGCTCCTGCTCGAAGGGACTGTCCATTGGGGACTGTTTTTCTCCTATCACGGCAGCTCCCGAAAGGCATCTGTCCTTGTTCTTCATTGAGAATTTTTGATGCAGTTGCTCAGAAGCTGCTAGGTAATTTTCCCTCCGTTTCAGTTTGTTTTCTCAGAGAATCACACACCTACAGCTACTTCTGTCACACCTGGTTGCAACCAGAACTGGAGGGCCAAGCAGGTGGCACTGGCTGAATACGGGCACAATCCAAAAATGCAAATGAAAAGAGGGGAGTGTATGCCATAATTCTAACTGGTTCATTATCCACCGAAGAAACAGAAACCAAAGCATGTAGACCTTACCCTTTTTGCAAAATCCATTTATTTATATTTTTCTGTCAGTCTTCTCTAAACAACCAAGAGGTTTTTCTATTGTAGTCATAAGTCAAGTTTTCTACCTCTGTCATCACTCTGGCTGCAGGGTTTTGAGACAAAAGTCACAAATGTCCCTTCCTTCAACCACAGCACTCAACAACAGACACAGTATCTTAGCTGGGAAGGGTGGAAGGATCACTTCACTCACAAGCCATTTTTCTACTTATGCTTCCTGTTCTCTGGCATCTTTCAAAATCAAAAGGTTGCTGACCCTTTTTCGCTTCGTAGACCTCTGTAACTTTAACCCCCTTCCTGAGCAGCTTTTACTCATACCTGTTTCATGCTGCAATTCCAGAATAGCTCTATAAGAGTAATCGCTTGCGTTGTCTTCCAGCCAAGCAATTAGATACCAGATAAAACACCTATTGGCCAGAAAATGACACTCCAGTGGTTACAGATACAAATGCAACCCTACTGGATCTGGCCATTCCAGCAACAACCTGTAAGGCAGACATACACTGCAGGTTTACATGCCCTAGGGAAAGAACTGAAAGAATATAGGGAAGTTATAGATACCTGAAACAGTAGGGAAATCTAGAGGGTGACAGGTATTAAATTCGTAGGGTAAAAAAAAAAATAAAAAAAAAAAAAAAAAAAAAAGAGAGCTTTGTATGCAATTAATGAGCCAACTAAAGGGGAGAGGAGCTCTATTTCTACCTGCCTCTTGTTTCCCTGGAAGGAAACACCCAGAAAAGTGCTGCAAACTGAGTCATCCGTGTCTGTTCTGTTGACACTGCAAACCAGAGGTCAGACGAACTGACTCACAACAGAGCAAAAGTTTCCGAGAACCATGAATCTGCAAGCTTTGCCTTTTCAGCTAGCTTTTCTTTTCAAACCAGAATTCTGAAGCAAAAACAATGCAGTCAAACTTTGCCAGCTTCAGCTAGCTAGAAAATGAAAGCACTCAGCTTCCCGTCACTTGACCTTCCTAGATCCCTTGACCTTTGGTGTCCCGTTTATTGCTCCTGTACAGGAGGAAGGAAGCCTTCTATCTGGCTTCCTGCA